CTTGGGATGGAAGGGGTCTCGTTTAGCATCTAGAGTTCGAACGACCATAGGAGTACTCGTTTAGCATCTCATTTAGCATCTGAAACCTCTAGAGTTGTAGTAACATCTTTGAGATGTTCACAAAGTTAGTCTCACGACAAGAATGATATTTGGCAATAACCTTGGGGGTAGCTCGGCATACGTGTGACCAATGATCTTTTGATCCACAATGGTAGCACATGTCCATTTCAGTGGAATCCGATTGAACGGTAGATTTTCCCTTATTCTTGAAGTTTGGGGCCTTTGGGGCAAAGGGTTGGCGCTTCTGGGTTAAATTTCCTCCCTTAGATGGGCTTCTGTTTGGCAGAACTTGGGCCCGTGGTGGGCCTTGCTACCCATTACCATCACCATGACATGGTTTCCGTCGGTTGTGGCTGCTAGAATTGCTCACATACATTTCAGGCGGAGCGTTCGAGCCAGTAGGTCAAGATTGATGATTCTTCATCAAAAGCTGGTTCTACTTTTTAGTGAGAAGTAGAATAGATATCAAATCCAAAATTTTGGTGAACTTTTGTGCCCTATATTGTTGATGCAGGACAATATTGGTGGCATTAAAGGTTGAATAGGTCTTCTCTAGGAGATCCTATTTTGTTAAGTCCTCTTTACATAACTTAAGCAGTGATCAGATTCTACAAACTTCAGAGTTGTATTCGTTCAAAGACTTAAAGTCTTGGAAGCATAAACGTTGCCAGTCGTGTCTTGCTTCAAGCAAGTGAATGTCTTTCTGGTGATTGAAATGATCCGCCAAAGCGAGCCAGAAGGTACGTGGATCCTCCTCTGGAAGGTACTCGGTCTGTGGTGCATCATAGATGTGTCTTTGGATGAAGATCATAGCAGTAGCTTTTTTAGCTTCATTGGCGGGTTCATTATCGATTAGTTCCTCGATAGTAGCTTTAAGACTCTTTGCAGTGAAATAGAGTTTCACATCTTGAACCCACTTCAGGTAGTTTCTTCCAGAGACTTCTAGAGTGGTGAAATCGAGCTTGTTCAAGTTCGACATGTCCCTAAACAAAGGGTACAACAAAACGTGGTTAGTCATATGGAAAGCCATAGACATACATTGTAGAACATTCGGGTTCTATAGACATGTATTGGTTTAATTTAAGCATGAAAGCAACGTGGTTTCATGTGGTAAGTTTTGAATAAAAACTTCGGGTTTCAAAGGCACTAAATTCGAAACGACAGGTTCAATTTAATTTATATAAGGGTACCTGCAAGAACCCATAATACAATATACAATAAAGTGTAGTGAATTGGTGGATTGCTTCAGGAACCCAAGTGTAAGTGCGTCAGGATTACGAAAGATAGTCAACGATTTCAAAGAAACAAAATAATTTATTGAATCGTTAATGCCAAAAAGTGGACTTTAGGCAAATAATTTTGGATTAATTGTCAGACTAATTGATTGCTGGTCACTTTAATTAATTCAATAGATTGGACCATACAAGGTCGATCATAGAAGCAAAAATAATTATAACATTTGGGTTAAAATTATAAAGAATACCAAAAATAGCATTGGATTTGAAAAACCATAGCCCAATAGCAGTGGGCTTAGGTGTCATGAGAAGAGCAAAGCCCTAAAGGGCATATTAGGCTCGAGTGGCCATAGAAGCAGCCCAATACATGGCTGCAGGCCACGGGCCGAGAGATGGAAGGCTCAGTAGCAAGGCTGCTGGCAATATAGGCTGAGACCAGTGCATGGGCCAAGCCCAATGATGAGTATATTTTATATTATATATTTTACCCTAATCTTAGTATATTTTGGTTAATATTTTGGAAGAATTTTGATACTTTGAATTGTATTTTCAATATAGGACTTTCGACTTCCTCTGGAGCAAAACAGGATCAAATGGACGAATTTTGGAGTAATTCCAGTTGGAGGACGTTCGTGAGTCACTTAGCTTGATCGTATCAAAATTTGGGATTTTTCCACCAAGCGGTTATTTTCTGGCGATGAAATAAAGAAGCAGTGCGCAGTGCTGGAAAGTGACGTTTTTGGGCTTAAATGACGTTTTTGGAGCCCAAGATGACCTCGGATGGATTCGTGGCCTTCTGGAAAAGTGTTCAGAATAGTCCAAACATTAAATCCAGCTATATTGGGCCAGTTTTAGAGCAGCTTATGGGCCAAAACGTGGCTGTTCAGATTTTAGACGAATTTTACTATTTTTATTTAGGGTTTTTATTAATTTTAGTGGGCTAGGATTTGTGTGGTGGCTTAGCAAATATATTGCTTAGCCGTCTACAGTTTTAGACTACGCTTTATTTTATGCAATATTGGAGACAGAGAGAAGTGTTAGGGTTTTGAAGATTTTCTACTTAAAGGTGCTTTCAATCCTTTTCTTGAATATATTTTCTATGATTTCAATTATGAATATGCGGAACTAATTTCTTTTGCTAGGGCGAAGCCTTGAGCCTTAGCATGAATATGTGATTTTTATTTAATTTCTTATGATTGATTGCATGCGTACTTTGAATTGTTAATCACCGGGATAAAAACTATCTAATTGTCTTAATGCCTGATCACCATTAGGATCTTTAGAAAAGTAATTTGATGCAATTTTGGTCGGAAGGTTCCCTGAAATTGACGCTGGCTTCTTGTGATTAATAATTGTAATTTCTCTTAGGATGAATATCACATCTTAAGGATTGCATGGTTTTTCAAAGGATTTTCATAAAGCATAATGAGTCTTTCATGTTTAGATTTGATCCGAACGTCCGGACGGGTTGCATGTTAGATATACGTTCTATGTTGGAGGTTCCAAGTAGAATATGAATTAGGAAAATCTAACCTTCAAAGTGGCATGTGTAGATCATAAGTAATGGGTAAAAATTCATAGGATTGCTGGGTGATGGTGGAACCCTAATGTTTTCTTAATTTGATTTTTCTCAAAACTGTTTTCTTTTCTCTCTAGTTTTAATATTGCAGATTCTCTTATCATTAATAGTTAAATTCGTTTTTAATTTAAGTATTTTATAAAATCAATCATCTAAATTTCTACTTTACAATAATTAATTGAAATCTGGTTTGTTTCGGTTTATTTAATAATCCATGTGGAGAATGACCTTGCGAGATCCGTTTATACTACAATATCCTTGTAATTCTTGCAAGTAAAATAAGAGGTTTTTATCGCATTCACATGAGTTGTAAAAATCCTATCACCCAACCAAAGGCTAGCTTGTGGGTGATGCGAGGAAGCCCCAGCCGAAATTGGGTTTTCGGGTCAACGGGCCGCATGGACAAGCCCAACAAGCCAAAGGCAAGGCAAAAACCCAGCAAACAGTGATAGGTCATGCTACCGTGGACTCAGGTTGGACCGTAACCTTCAGGCCCGTGTGGTAGTCAACCCAGGCCACGCATGGTCCAAGGTGTCAAAATGACAGCGTTCTCCATGCAATTGGTTTGTAGGCCAATGCGGTGGTCCGGCTATGGTTCCACGGTGGTGCAGTAGCAGTGCTGCAAAAAAATCCCAGTTTTTTTTTCCTTTTCTTTTTTTTTCAAATTCTAAGGTTAAAAACCTTAATTGCTTCTAAATTAATTTCGATACTTTGACTCACAAATTTCACATAGCATAATTGTGTATTGCATGAACAAGTATATATATTGACAAAATATATGAACATATATATAATTGAAAGGAAAATATAAATATAGGGAGTTCATGCATCAAGGTTTTTTTTCAAATATCTTATATGAAGAATTAGATACTGACATATATATGAAAGTCCCAGAAGGACTTAAGTTTTCTAAAACCCACTAATCATCATCTCATCTGGCGCGAAGAAAAAAAGGGGGGCCTTCCTTAACTAACAAACCACGAGATATGTTCTCAATTAAATTAAAGCGATCATTATATGGGCTGAAACAATATGGACTAATGTGGTATAATCGTCTTAGTGAGCATTTGATCAAAGAAGTATAATCGTCTTAATTTATTTTAGAAGAATCTGATTGGTAGAAAACAATTGAAAGCCTTAGATTTTGTAGAAAAGAGCCTCCTCCTACGATCCTTCAGTTCCTTAGCTTCTGGCAAGAGCGTGTTGATAACGTGTTGTAGGCTTATTTGACTGAACTGTATAAAAGACAAAGAGGGAGAGGGGCAGGCGCAATAGAGAAAGAAGAGAGACATGTAATTCTGAGGTGTGTGTTGTATCACCCCCTTATGCCTTTATTTATTGTAGTAGGATAGGTAGAATCCTTACCCTAATAGGACTACCTCTCTAATAAGAATTAAACTACCAAAGGGAATATACAAGATACTCCTAGATACACTAGGATTTACAAAATCACATTCCTAATCTAATGGGACTGCAACACTATAATCCTTATTTCTGTCGACTGTACGTATCCCACCAAAGTATTATGTAAAACTCTCGGATACATATAAATAGGCACTTACGTAAGACTCTAATTGTTTAGTTTCGACTCTATTTGTGTGATTGATGATTAATTTGATTGCTTGGTCAATTGATTGATTGTTGATTAATTTGATAGTTTCGTTGATTATTGATTAATTTGAAGTTGAAGAATGCTTGCTTGGTTGAGTAATATGATTGCTTGGTTAAACGTGTTTGTGATGTGAGTTAAACTTGTTTGTGACTTGTGTACTTTTGACTGACAATGGATATTTGTTTTACAAAGTATTATTATACTTAATATATATTTAAAAAATTTAGGTCTATCCATGAAATGCCTTGCCTACACCTTTGCCTTTTAAAACATTGAAGCTCGTACATCCTTCGTCTCATTCCTAGAGGTGTGGAGAAATTGGAGACCATCCCTTTGGGTGGCAAAGAAGAACCAATTGGAGGCCATCATAAATTGTGTTTGTTACTTTGTCAAATTTGAAATTCCATGCTTAAAATCTCTAATATTTCCCTTCAGCATCGTCATTTACAATTCCATGATCAAAGCATATTCCTAATCTGAAACCCCATTTGTTGCTTTGTCGATTTATAACATGATGGGGGTGCAAGAAAATGCCTTGGGCGACAAGTTTACTTACCCTTTTGTGTTGAAGGCTTGGGCAAGGGAATCGGCTATAGACAAAGGGAGGGAGGTTCATGGTGTGGTTGTGAGAGTTGGGTTTATCGTGTAGTTGTGAGAGTTAGGTTTGATTTCAATAGGTTTTTGTGTAGTTCTTTGCTGAACTTGGTTTGTGAAAAAATTGAGAGTGTAAGGCAGGTGTTTGATGGATTCACAATGAAGGATGTTGTTTTCTGGAATACTATGAAAATGGGTTATGCTCGAAACTGGATGGTTTTTGAAGCTTCTGATGGTTTTAGGGAGATGGTGGAAATGGGAGAGGTTAGACTGAATGAAAGTGCAACTTTGGCATTGATATCGACTTGCATATATAGTATCAGAAAACTTGAAATTTGGGAGAGATTCATGAGTTTTTAGGATATATGTGAGTTTTGGGTTGAGTGTGAAAGTGGGAGCTGCATTGGTTGATTTGTATGCAAAATTTGGCTGTTTTGACTATGCATAGAGAGTGCTTGAGGGAAAGCCTAAGAAGAACACTGGTGTGGAACACTTTGATATGTGGCTATTCCTTTAACGAGCCTTCAAATGAAGCAATTGATCTTTTCAGGGAAATGTTTTGTTTGCATGCAAAGCCCCATAATTTCATGATTTTAGGCTTCTTGTCTGCTTGTGCACAAATGGGTGCTATTAATATAGGAAATTTGGGTTCGAATAGTCTGGGATATGTTTATTGGTACATCTTTGGTAGACCTGTATGCAAAATGTGGTTCTATTGAAGCAACTAGAGAAGTGTTTGATCAAAAGGATAAGAAAACTGTTGCGACATGGAACGCTATTCTTTCTGGATAGGCATCATATGGGCAGGCTGGATCTGCAATGAAGCTTTCTGATGAGATGAGAAAATCAACTGCCATCCTAGATACATAACCTTCCTTTCAATTTTACATGCTTGTGCACATGCTGGTTTGGTTGGGAAAGGTAAGCAATACTTTGATTTGATGGTGCAAAATTATAAGATAGCTCATAAAGTTGAGCACCATGGTTGTATGGTTGATCTTCTTAGGCGAGCTGGATTTCTAAAGAAGCAAGGATGCTTATTGAGAGGATGGATAGTGAACCAAATGTAATTGTATGGGGATCACTGTTTAATGCTTGTAGCATTCATGGTGATATTGAGGTAGGAGAGTGGGCGGCTGACCATATATTCGACTTAGAAGCAATAGGCGGGTGCTCCTACGTGCTCTTAGCAAATATGTATGCTGAAACACGAAGGTGTGACAGGGTAAAGCAATTAGAAAGGCAATGGATAATGTGAGTATTTGTAAGCTACATGGATATAGCATAATCGAGATTGGAGATGTAGGTCATGAGTTTCTAGTTCCTGACAAGGCACACCCTAAATCAGAAGAGATCTACTAGGTGTTGGATGGATTAAGCAACAAGCTCAAGATGGCAGGCTTGATGCGATTGTCTGCTCTAGATCAAGGGTATCTGGAAAGCAGCTGAGGGACAATATGTTGGGGGTTAAAAAGACTTCACTACTTTGGAGATGTTTATCTCACAAAGAAGAATGTAATGCAGTGGAATTGATAGGCAAGAGAAAGAAAGAATACTCAAAGTATTACACAAGATTTTTATTCACTCACAAACGTAGTACAAAAGGAAACACTCAAACACTCTTAGAAGCTTTGTTGCTTCTTCTCACTTCTCACTTGCCACTCTCACTTCTCACTACTTGCTCTCTTGGTTGTTACATCACATATCTTAGCACCTCACCTATTTATAGGCAAGGTTTGACTTTGGCATTGCTAGAACTTTCTAGCTAATGCTTAACAACCACACATTTTTACAAGATTCTATATCTTTCTACAAAAAGCCTTAGATATTTATGCATGCATTCCACCAACTTGAACTTTGCTAGAACTCTCTAGCATGTGCATGGATCTTTTTTTGTGTATGGGCCGGATCAATTGTCTTGAGCCAAGACAAGATTACAATTCAACACAATGAACTCCTAGAGAGATTTCCTAAAAATGGGAAGATCGGAAAAGGAGATAAAGTGATCGGAGCAGTTTCCTTTCTAGGGGCATTTGGATTTGTATGGAACATTCCAGATTCCGGAGATGGACGAGTGATCTCAAAGATTATTTGGAGATTCATTTCAAGGTTCAGTTCTTTCCTTCATTCATGGACATGTTTTGTGAATATCTGTCACTGCATTTTTGTTTTCCTTCTTATGTCTTAATTATTAAACTCATGCAGATGGCCTTCTAATTCTTCATGGAACATGGTGTTATTGCAGAACAATTTTATTATCATTGACATTTCGTTTAAGGTATAAAGTTATATCTCAAATATATCCATGGTTTCTGTCATTTATACTGTCAGATCGTTTCCTGTAGTTCTCATTTTATGTTTTGGATTAGCGTTTCTAATATTTTTGTACTTGTTCATGAATTGTTGCAACAGTGTTGCTGCCGAGGTTAGCATTGTGATTAATGAAAAACTTGAGAAGGACAGGTAACTGAAAGTCCACATATTTAGGCCAATTTAAGAAACTAATTAGGTGTACTGATTAGTTTCTGAATTTTCTGTTTGTTTTGTTTATAAGTGTACTAGTTAGGTCTATTGTGCATTCTTCAATGGCCTGATAATGTTTTTCCAGATCACTATCCAAAAGCTCGAAAGAGGTATGTGGACTGGAAACGAAAGGAGTAAAACCATGGTTGATACTAGGTTCTAAATTGTCTGTATGGTTGATAATGAATTGAGAACTCAGAAGCAACCATTGCAATTGCTGTATCTATTAGGGATCATATGCAACCATTTAAATTGGAATTATGGTTTTGAATTGGGGGAATCAGAAGTTGAGGGACCAGATGTGGCAGGCTGGCAGCTATGTTATACTTCATGGGTGGTGCAATCTTTCCTCATAATCCCATTACAGTGATTCTACGACTTGCAGTTTCTTACTCTCTTATTCCCATATTTGTTTTAAGGAGGGAGGGATCGACTCTTCGGAGTCTCCCTTGGGTGTCCTCCGCTTCGACAGATTAACCTGCCAACGATCGCGCCTATCACAAGATATTACGGAGTTTGGTCTGTACCCCCGTTAGCATACATGGGTCTCTCTTATAAATAGTCAAGTTAAATAAGAAGATCAGTTATCACTATTTTCTATTGAAACTCCATCTTATTCGGTTTCTCTCAAACTATTTTTTTACTCGGGCAACGAAGGTCCTTTGGCAGACACCCTTCTCTTTTGACGAAAATTTACATTCACAAAACCAATTATGTGTATCTTGCATGAAATAGTTGTTTTATGATTCACTTGTATTTTTACTAAGGATTGGTTCCAAAAACACTTTTACCAAAAACCTTTCAGTCATTTTAAAAACGTTTTCTTACAAAAATTTTGGAACATCTGTATATTTTAGCTATGTAACTCCTGTGAAACCTTGGAGATGATTCTAACACACAAAAAGACAGAGGGGAAGGAAGAGACACGGTCGACGAGTAAGGGATTTTATCTATTTATTCTTTTATGTAAATGATTGAGGCTTTGTGTGTCACATTCGTCGGCAAACTATATCAAGAAAAATAAAAAATAAAATCCGTAGACACTTGTACAAGAATATCGAATCATGCCTGCAAACGTGCTCGTAAATTTATAAGTTAAACAAAAAAACAAAGCAATCTTAAATTTATAAGTTAGATAAAAAAATAAAAAAAATAATAAAAAATAAAAACCAAGGCAACACCCGCTGCTTTTCAATGTTCTCACTTAATTAACCTTTCTTTCATTTTCTTATACCTTGGACATTTCAACCAGAATATCAAGGGCATCTGAGAATGCATGATTGTGGTGGTTTGACCATAAAATAATATGCCAAATAATTTGAATGCCTTAAAATATAATCCATGTCGACATAAAGGCATGAACATTTGACCTAATACGTCTGTCTTTTTCATTATCTGCAAATTCTCGCGTCATTGTTATAAATTCAGTTGACTTTTCTGTATAATTTACGACATGAGATGCTTAGGCCATTTCTAATCGAAGGGTCCAGAAGGCCAGAAAGTAGAAAATAGTCTAAAAACAATCTCCAACCGAGAGCTAGACCAGAGGGCTCGTGGGCCCCACGGAATCTAAAAGGGCCAAAGGGTTGGCCACAAGCAGCCAACCAGCCAGCTCGAGTTGGGCCAGAGGGATGAGTATTCCTGTTGGTTATAACCGACAAGAATACATTTATATACAACCGACAGGAATGCTTAAACAAAAAGCTAGGCATTGTATTCAAATTTTTTTTTTTTTGGTTTTTTGGGCCAATTTTTTTTTTAATTCTTAAAAATTCAAAAAAAAAATTCCTATAAATACCTAAACCATTCCTTAAATTTAAGTTCTATTTTTGTTTTTTTTTGGGCCAGTTACCGTTGTAGTTTTTAAATTTAAGTTGTTGTTTGATTTGAATTTAAGTTGTTGTAGTTTTTAAATTTAAATAATAAATTATATTTGGCCCTCGGTTGAAGACGGTTTTTTGAGACAGGGCTAAAACAAGCCCTATGGTCATTTGGCCCTCAGTTGGAGACGGAGGCAAATATGGCCATGTACTATTCATTAAAATATTAATATCTTAGAGGGTTAGAGGGCTAAAACGAGCCCTCTAGCCAGCCCTTGGTTGGAGATGGCCTTAGATGCCCAAACCACTTCAAAGCATACGTGGGATCTATGGAGATGATGTAGATGCTTATAGAATTTTTTTTTTTTTATAACAAACGATATTATCTATACAAAAAAGTCAAGGAAGTAGGCTAAGTCTCACAATGGGCTAGCAATAATGTGGTTTAAATTCGTCTTTGACAAGAATTGAACATAAGACCTTTCACTTACAAGTGAAGAGGAAAACTAGTAGAACGTAGTCTAATTGACATAGTTATAGTTTATTTGTAATCTTTCAGTCATTTGTTTAGCGGCTATGCCTAAGAGATCAACAAGTATAATTCATTGCTTATTTAGAGGGAAATCTTAACGCCCAAGTTATTGCCCCCATAACCTCCACCACATTACACACTAGCAGAAAAAGGGCAGAGGCCACATATAATTTTGCCACGGTGGGACTTTTAGAAAACTTAAAGCTACTTTTTTATTTTAGTTTTTAAAATTTGGGTTTTAATATTCACTTTTTTTTATTAAAAAATAAAAATAGTTACCATACAATTTTTTATTTTTTATTTTCAAAACATGAAACTAAAAATTAAAAATAAAGTGATTAACAAACGACGTCTTAGTATTTATAATAATTATTTATTAGGACAAATGAGATCAGGATTTTATTATACAAATGAGATTAGGACAAATGAGATTAGTATTTATAATAATTATTTTTTAGGTCTTAAATTAAATTCGATAAGGATCCGGTCCGATCTGATTGGATTTGGATCGACAAATCATATTCAATGATCTGAATAAGTACGAAATTCGTTAATCCAATTATAAATGAATTCAAATATGGATAACGGCTCGATTAGATTCGGATAAACAATGTTGACTTCGTTTATTTGGCTATCTTCTTTATAATTTTTTTTTTAACAAACGGTATAATCTACGAAAAGGGGATAGGCTTAGCCTCATAATGGGCTAACAATAATGTGGTTCAAATTTCACATTTGACGAGAATCGAAACTAAATCTCTCACTTACAAGTTAAAAAAATACCACTAAACCATTGTATTAAGTGGTCTTTTCTTTATAATTAATCAAACCTCAATAATCCAAGACAGGATGGAGCTAACAATTGCCACAATCATTCAAGGCCCGACTGATGGATTCAATCACACACCCTTCATAGGTGTTTATTTGACTCCTGATAACTTTTTCGAGACCTTAGATTTGCTTGAAATAAACCTGTCGGTTAATATTTACATCTCATCCACGGATTTCATACAGAAAGGGATTAGGGATTCCGTTTCAACATGCATTACCACTTAGGCCTATGGCTTAAGGGTTGACGCTGTTTGATTTATGCGATTTTATTATCTTATTTATTTACATTTACTTAGTTAATTTCCATGCATCCTAGTAATTTAAGTTATTTTCGTATCATTGTAGGTTCAGTTGGTAAAGAGGACAATAAATAGTCAAATTGAGCAATTTGGAGCAGTTTTGGACTTGGATTGGATAGCAGGCATGGATAGCATATGGGCTAGACATTTTGGTGTTTAAAAGGTGTTAAACATGTGCTAAAACCTAGAGAAATTAAAGTTGAGGCTTGAAAGGTAAGGAATTACACAAGAAAGAGGAATCCTAGTTGGAGAGAAGTATAGTGACTTGTTTTGAAGTCCAAATAAAGAATCAAAGATGAATCTGGCTTGTTAGAAGACCAGGAACATAATGGGAAATGAATTGGGATATCTAGCCTA